ATATATATATATATATACTAATTAATTTATGAGGAACGCCCTGTTTTTTTTTTGGATTCACCTTTGTATGCTCTTATCCCGTAAATGAGATCATCCTACAAGAATAATGTTGCAGATTCTGAAAAATTTTCAACTCAAGATTTGAAGTTTATTTCGAAGAAATGCATGGATTCAACTAACCATGTTAGTTTCACATGTTTTTCTACTAGGAATTAAAGTCAGATGTTGTAAAATGTTTGTCCTACATGCAAAGAAAAAGTCCAAAATAGGACAAACAATTCTCTAACGTTCATATATCAAGGCGTCAAATTCGTTTTTTACGTCTTTTTCTTGTAAGATTCTTTACTAGGCTTTTTGACAACATGTATGTAGCTTAATCAACCTTAGGATAACCTAGAAAACCATGTTCGAAAGAGAATCATATTTCAGAATGCAAAGAACAATCCATAATATGAAAAAGTGACCGGAATGGACTGTTAATTTATTGTTTATAGTAAGGTTTTATTATTTCTCGTTTTTTTCAGTATTATAGTGTTTAATTATATTTATAATAATTAAGAGTGATTTTCATACAAACAAATTTGTCGAAAATCAGTCCCAAATCTAAAGCAATATTTCCAATCAATTCAAAGGAGCATCCAATAAACTTGCATCAACTTTTCTTTACATAGTTGATTTTATAGATGAGGAGATAATGATGCACCTATCAGAATATTTAGAATTAGTACCGTGTGCAGGTAAGCCCTAATTTAAATGCATTTGTTGATATTCTCATTTTTATAATACTAAGAATATGCATTATATCTTTAGAGACAAACAACATATGTGGAAATAGAAAAAAAATCATACTACCAAAGTCAAATGTGAAAGTATAGAGGAAATAAAAGAGGGTGTTAAAACTGAAATTGAAAGTAGATAGAACTTCCATATATATTAGTAGGTCAAGCCTTGAAAATGATATTATTTTAGACTAATGTTTGATATTTTTTTGGATGTCGATGACTCCACAAACTAGTATACATTTTATAATTTTAATAATTATTTTTTGAACTTTATAATTGTTTAAAAATATACCTTTTCATTAAAGTTTTCAACATCCATTGTTGCGTCATCTCTACCAATAGCATCAGAAGTGCTGTCATATTCGCGTTGGTAATGGTCAACGTACATACATTTGGAGGGATACTTAGATTTGCTCTCGCCCTCTTGCTGTCCACTTTCCTCGTATTTTTTCTTTGATATTTCACAGGTTGTCTGGGTTGTTGGGTTGTAGATAGGTTGAGGATCGATTGGAGTTCTTCTTCTATGTGTCACAAGCCTAGGTGTGGCGTTGACTTCATTCATTGGGATGTGATTTCTACGCATTTATGGAAGTTTTCCCTTTCTGACCAGCTAGGCAAACTGGGTTGGACCTTAGATCCTTCTGATCAGTTTACTGTTGCATCTGTGAGATGCTTCTTAGATGGTCGGTCTATGCTTACATGTGGTGTTTCAACTAAATGGAATTATTTTGTTTCTATCAAGAAACATCATGTTATGGAGGATTGTCTTGGATCGTATTCTTACTATAGTGAATTTGGTTCATCGAGGTATCACTTTGGATTCTGCATTTTGCACAACTTGTTTGGAGTCCTTATAGACAATGGAGCATGTTTTTGCAGGTTTCTAGGATATTTTTTGACAGTTGGTCCTTGATCGAGAGGTGGTGGTGATATTTCTAGGTATTATTTTAATACATTTTAAGCTATAATTTGGTTAAATGCAAAGATATTTGGAACTTATTAAGTTAAATTATATTTTGCAGCCAAAAGGACATTCTTGAAGAAAAAGAGCAAAAAACGACAAAAACTAGAACCTGGAAGGACTGGAGCTGAGTTAGGAGCTTAATGGAGCTTAAAAGGGAAGAAAAATCATGCAAATACACTCCCCAAAACGTGGATTTAAAGTACCACAGAGTGACACATGGAATAATATCGATGATATATGTGATGATAAAGCTCACGACGTGAGCACTATTAGCTAATGATGCGAGAAAGAAGTTCCAGAAGATTGATACATGGAGTATAAATTTCCTTGTTAAAGAAGGATATCTACTGATCTCACGACGCGAGACCTTATTGCTCACGACATGAGATGTGTTTTTAGGAAACTATAAATATCCTTTGATATATCGACTTTTGCAGGATCGGAGAGACATATTCTGGAGATCTAGTCGATTTTAGAAGCCATAATACTGCGAAAAACAACACTTGGAAGGAGAACTCAATTAGAGATTAGAGATTTAAAGATTAAAGTAAGGATTCACATTACACATTTGGTTTGCATTAGATTAATCATGTCTAGTTTGAACTCTTATGTGTTTTTGTGTTTATTTTTTGCCATGGGTAGCTAAATTATTAGGCTTTCGTTTAGTGTAGATGAACCCTAATACTATATGTTAGTTTCTTGCTTTATATGGATTTTATGCAGTTGGTTTAGTTGTATTGTTAGAACAAAGTTCAATTAGGATCGTTAGATTCTATGCAGACAAACAATTAAGAAAGTAATTATGAACACGAGAAAGACTTTGAATGTGTCGTATGATTAAAACTTCAACACCTTAGAAGAGCTCGATTAAGAACTTCAACCGTAGAGGTGTTTAGGGTTACAAAACAATGAACATAATAATCAACAGCATCTAATGCACACATGCATGCATATTTATAGTATAACCCTATCAAATAATCACGGATGGACATGCCCAATTCGGATACAAAACATAAAGCCCATGACGCAACACAATTAGACTCAACAATCTCCCCCTTTGCGTCAATGAGACCGAAAGCTCACTTCAGTTGAGCTGCAGAAGACTTCTTTATTGTTTTGAACACCTTCGGAATGATAGCCAGCAAATGATGACAGAACGTTATGTACCACCGAAGCATGTCTGTGAAGTTCTTTTTGTCTGCTTCTGAGTTCAGCTTGCACCGATGAATAATGTTGATGATGTGCTCCAAGCAATAAGTTGAAAATAAATGTTTATCAACAAGAGCAAATAAAAATCTGTGAGCTTCGCCTTTTGTAAACATCACAGTAAGATGTGTTGAATCTATTTGACCCATCTTCATCTTATTCACATCTCCTGGTTTCGGTGTTGGCTTGATGGTAGGTTTCTTATTCATTACTTTCGCTATCTCCTGATCCATAGTTGCAACCTCATGGATGTAAGAAGCCAACATCCTCTTCAAGTGCTCCAATATCGGCTCATATTCCCTCGGATTTGTGAGCAGAATATTAAACAAAAGAATCCAGTCATGAGGATTTATATTTGGAAGGTCTGCCAGGGAAATAGTCGACATCGAATTTGCAGATCCTCGTGTGATTTTGAAATTGACATTTACAAATTTCCCAGCAGACGTAGGTTTCAGTACCTTGACAGTGATTATCTTTTGTGCGCTCCATGTCAAGTACTGAGGTTGTCCATACTTCAGATAGAAATCAATAAGCTCTAGGTCAACCTTTGGATGAGGA